GACCCAGCTACTAGACACAACCATAATGCTTAGGACAAGAGATAACGATAGTTGGCACGGATTTCGAAACACTATTGTTAGAAAGGGTTAATTGTAATGTAATATAAATTGACAAAAGTAATTTTGTCAGGTTAGCATTATCGACTAATATCATGTTAACGAATAAAGTTGCTAAACAGGGTACCAGCATTCTCTGAAAATTAGCTGTTGAGAAGATAAATCAGACCAAAACATGTTTTAAGTCATATCACATAAATATATTTCCAACCAATTAACTGAATTAATATCAGTGACCAATCAATAACTTCTCCTGAAAATGTTTTACAGTCACATTATTTTACAATTTATGTATATTTCATATAGAAAACGACTTTATATGATTTACAGTAACTTTATAAGCTCATTCAATTTAGATAACTAATGAAGTGAATGTTTACTACAAAATAAGATGTAATCTGAGTAGTTTGTACTTTTTTTCGCCCGAAATGTTTAATATATGTTCGTCAAAAAATAAGGCGTTGTTAAGCTACCAGAAAAACAGTAGTTTAGAATAGTTAGTGTGCAGTAAAAGTTTTCCAATAAACTGTAGGGCTAGATCACACTGAACGATTTGCACTATTAACTTCAAAAATGGAAAAAAAATCAGTTTTACTATACTTGACATTGAAACTGTTGATTGCCTTAAGTAAAAAACGTGCTGTAGCTAAAATACGCTTCATAAAATACAACTTAAACGAGGAAATAATTTTTTATTTGGTTTTTCATCATAGTTGTACACCGATATATATATATATATATATATATATATATATATATATATATATATATATATATATATATATATATTAGACTGCCTGTCGAATAAATGGTGATGAGTAAATTAACAATATGTACCTCAATACTTACCGTAAAGATCATAATTGGTCAATTAGCTGAAGTTATATTTTTAATGTTCTTAATACCGACCAGATGTTTGAAAATTTTGTAGTTCTCCAATTTATTTCGATTAATAATTTACTTTTATCTGAAGGGACTAATCAGATAGAAAATTTGGAGCTTTGAAAGATATCATAAATAACTGATATTATTAAGTTTTTACTCAATTGTTTACTTATTGAAATCCTTATATTTTTATAAAGTTGGAAAAGCAGGCAAAAGGTGAGCTTTACAAAATGTTGTCAGTAAGATTATAAAACGTCTATGTTTAGCTGACTATTATCTTCAATAGATTTTGTCAATTTATTACCCTAGTACTAAGGTAAAATTCAATTTAAGATATGATGATATAGTTAGAGCTCTACACTCCAAACATCCCAACAGAAAAATTTATTTAAACTAGGGTAGGATTTTTAAAACAAACAGGTTTTTATTGGTTTTGAAGAAAATTTATGTTTCTTATTTTATCCTTTCGACTTCATAGCTAATCTGAAGGAAAATAAATTCATTTATTAGACACTCTACATGTAATAAGTGACGGTTTTTGAGCACCCAGCCCAGTCGTCTATTTAGCCGAACTACCAGTCTAGGAATTGCATAGTAAACTTGAACTATGTAGATTAAATTTCACAGGTTGAAATCATGAGTCGATTGATGCTAGACCACCATGAAAAACCTGGGAGCACTGGACGGCCGTTTCGTCCTAGTATGAGACTGTTCAGCAGTGCGCATTCACGATCCCTCACCACGCGGGGATCGAACCCAGGACCTTCTGGCTTCGCGCGCGAGCACTTAACCACTAGACCACTGGGCCGGCATCAACTGCTCACTAGTGACTGACTTCAGGAAAAACTCCTGGAGTTCTAGTGAGAAGCCGTTACCAGTGGAGTTCAACCAGGTCTGTTGTGAGATAGTAACCCACTGAGGACAATGGTGTACGGTGGCGCAACTTCGTGGATTGGTTGAAGTTAGACATTGACACCGTTGGATGCCGGCTCAGTGGTCTAGTGGTTAAGTGCTCGCGCGCGAAGCCAGAAGGTCCTGGGTTCGAGCCCCGCGTGGTGCGGGGTCGTGGATGCGCACTGCTGAGCAGTCCCATACTAGAACGAAACGGCCGTCCAGTGCTTCCAGGTTTTCCATGGTGGTCTAGCTTCAATCGACTCATGATTTCAACCTGTGAAATTTCTAAAACTCTCCACAAAACCCATCCTGATATGTAGATTAAAGTTTGACTTAGATGATCATTCCAATAAGGAAAACATATTGAATGCATATAAATGAGTCATTCTTGAGAAGAGACATACTTGTGAAATGAGCCTTATCATAATAATTATCATTTTGTTTTCTTTAACTACTTTTTGAATAAACTTAAATGAATATTTTCGTCATGCTTATTTCCCTGTAGCCTATACTTCTACTAAACAACCACTACTTTACTAGTCGTCTGTAATGCAAGATTTATAAAATCTCAAACTATGACTCGTAGTAGACACATGAAACCTATCGTCATGCTAAAAGGTTTCCAGGCACTTTTTTAACATGATATGTGTATTTATTGTGAGTTTGCAACTCCGTAGTAATGAACCTAGAAGAATCTATTTCATATTCATTAAAAAAAATTTAAAAAAAAACTGTTTTTACAAACCAAAATTTTCATTTTCTAATCTTTTATGTAGGAAAATTGCATCTTTACAATGCTTGATGAAAATTGTTTTGGTGTATTTTAGTTATTTTTAGCACATAAAACGATGTTTCGTAACGAGTTAAGTAAACTAAAATATGAGAAAATAATTTAAACCACGCCCTAAATGGGAACTAAATCATGGTAACAATGCAATTACATATATTTGTACCGTAATAGTTTTAAATTTGAGTTTCAGAGTTCAAGTTTATTTTTTTCTTATTATAGAAATTACCGTCTGCTTTTCCACTTACTTCTTTGCTCTTTGAATATTTTACAAACAAACTAACAACTACATCTTACCAAGAGTGGTTTAGTTTTTTAAAATCTGATTGAATTGTTGATCTTATTGAGTATTTTTCTGGTTAAAAACCGTTTGTATTTCATGTCACTATAATAACTGACAATTACTTTGACAAATGAATAAATTCTCATTCAAAATGGACACTATTTTCTAATGAAGAGTTATTTAAACTACACTGAATATTATACAGCATTAATGAAAGGAAGATTCAACTGTGTTCCGTATCATCATCTTACTCTTATTTTGAGGATAAAACAACTTTCATAATTTCATGGTGTTTGAGACGTATAAACGGTTAAATATGCTGACTGACATGCTTACTTAAACAAACGCTTTTATTAACATTCATGAAAACAGGGTGATGATTTTCTATCATTTTTAAATTATCTGATATAAGTTGATTGATTTCAAGGAACTGTTAAACCTCACTTTATGAGTATCAGCTGATACTTGGTGGTTTCCTCGCCGATAGTATCCTATATTTTTTACTTAAACTGATAGAATGCAAGAATGATAAAAATTTAATATATGAACGTGATATTGTATGTCGTCAATGTTTTGTTTCAGTCTGTCAGATGTCTTTAAGTTACACTAATCCTTAATAAGGGAATTCTTGAATTTACACCTACTGTAATTAATTCATTCACTATCTATTATCAGAAAACCGACAAATAAGCCAATGTACCGTAAATATAGAAACGTCTTGCACGAATTATGATGAGCTTTTATGCTAATTCTTTGTTGGACCTTACCTACTTGTTTTTCACAAAATAGTTACATTAGAATATAAACAAAAGTGATCAATGAAATTGGACATTGTATTTTTCATAACATGCTAGTTACTCCTAAAACATTGTAATTTACTGATCCCGACTATCAACCAAAATGTCTTGGTTATTTAGTAGCTAAAGAATAGGAGTTCCGACATAGAAAGCTTATTTATCGGAAGGAATCGAATACACGATCATTGTAGTATAAGTGATTTTAGCTTATCAGATGTAAACGTTTCGAACAATCTCAAGTTGCTCAAATAGTTACATTAAGTACTAAGTGCAAAGTAGATACTTTATTTGAAAAGGCTATATTCCATGACTGCTTGTCGTTTATAAATCGAGTTATGTATTACGCTTGTGTGGATTTTTTGAAAAACTGAGTATCCAGATTACTGTTAGTTATTAGTTTGATAAAAGTTATTGCTATAAAATAGTTTTCATTGTTGCATTTCCTAAAAGCTGTCAGGTTAATAAACCTACCCTGAAACTTGACATTTGAATTTAACTAGAATTCTACATCTATAACCCATATCCAAAAAATTAATTTGAAAAAATTTCAGAAAAAAGTACTAGATAAAGCTTTAGGATGACACTCTATCCTGAAATACAGAAGCTTCCAACAATTCATTAGCCTATATATGAAGGTAAGGATCTATCGCCTTGAGGAAGGGTTCAAGTATTCTGTTTTCCTAAAATAGTCACAGAGACTTATGCACTCAGAAAAGTTTACAGTGTCATCACGGTAAAACGTCCCGTAATTTCGACCATCTTTAACCACATTGTTTGCGTTTATTCTTTTCAGTTGTGTGATTTACAAAGAGCAGAAAATTATTCATAATGCTCATCAGTACATTTATGTGGATTTGTGAGATATTTAGTGTAAACACATAATTCGCTTTGCATAAGAGTATTCATTGTTGCTCATTTCAAAATTTATCTGACTAAAACAAATGGATATAGAATGTCACAACAACATTTTACTCTTGCTCCCAACGTTAGTAAGACTTAATTGTCGAATTTCATTGGATCATTTTGGTAAGTTCTAACAAACATTCAATCAATTGTAATGAAGTAAAAGGCATATGTGAGTTAAAACACAAACTACTTACTGATTTGCCAGAAGTTGTTTTCAATACTTCATAATAAAATAATTACTGACTACATAAGACAATAAAAATGAAAATATGTTGGTGGCCATAAGTAAACTGTATTCATCTATAATTTTAAATAAGCACTTTTTCGTATAACGTTATATATACAAATAAGAGATATAAATCAGGTGTCGCGGTGAAATATCAGTGCCTTCTTAACCAATAAATTCATCATTGCTATAACGATCATCGCGGTTGTCTTGTTTAAGTGTTTTTAGAACTTCTTCGAATGTATTACTACATGGTGCAGCTAGATCACATGCCCTTAAAGGAGATAAACATCTCTCAAATTCAATGGGTTCAATTATGATATCGTCCAGTAATGATGAACTTGAACGTTGATGATGCGAAGAATTTTGTGAATGACTATCAACTAGATTGAATGATACGGAATGACGACGTGGTGAAACAGAAACCTCTGGTATAGACTCAGGTATATTAAGTGTATAAGGTAAAGATCCTCTGGAACCTTTTGATAAATATGGTTTTAAATAATTAAATTTACTATTGAATGAATGAATCTTTTGATCAATATACATGTGAGATAAAAATGGAGGTGTATCATGTGAAGTCATCGAATCGTCTGATGAAATTTTACTATTGTCCATATTTACGTGTGACGATACCAGAATGAAAGGCTTCTGAGATGAGATTTGCTTTAGTTCTTCCTTGTTTCTGTTCATAATTCGGTGACGTTTATCATCAAACAAATTTGTAACTAGAAGTATCTATTGGAAGGTATTATCGTTTAGTTAAATTACAGATTTCTTATATGTTCCTTTTCATATTCAAACAGTACTACTATAATTTATGAGGGTTTAAAAAACTGCTTAGAGAATTCACAGTGAATGAAATTGGTAGAATTTTTCATATCAAATAGTTGATCTAACATCCGTAAATTACACACTCACAAACATACAAACATAAGTTTTCTATTGTTTTAACTATGTAGTGATATCCAAGGTCATTTCAAGTTGCTATTCTTTTACTCAACATTAAAGTGATTGGTTAATTGTTGTTCTAGTTGTGTACCCTCTACTGATAATAAAAAACGATAAGCGACATATGAGTGTACTCCGATTTCTTACCAATACCATAAAATACCTACATCCTTAATAAATTATATATATATATATATATATATATATATATATATATATATATATATATATATATATTGCAGAACCAGAAAATACAACTGTGCAATTTACGAGGTTGCTAGGATGCAACATTTTATTTTAACAATAACCAAAGCTCTATATTTGTTGAGTTTTATTTAACAATTACAAATTGTTCATTAATTTACATAAGTTTTGAACTATTGTTTGAAGTTAAATAATTAATGTGAAAATACAATAATAGTAACGTAATTTCAATAAATGCCACATTGAAAAAGGACTAATTTTTAACGCGTTAAGCTTACTTCTTTTTTCCCATAAAATTTCATATGATCTAGTCAAGGGACGTAAACAACTGTTCAACACCTTTACAAATCGTAACCATGTTTGGTGTTTATTTCTAAATCCTTAGATTGACGAAACATAACATTGGGAAACAAACCAAATCAATTTACATGTGTTATGAATCATACGGAGATTAGATTGTTGTATAAAATGTTTCAAGCTCTCAATTAGCTTACTGAGATTTATTTTTTCAAAAAGATATGTTTAAAGATTTTTGGTAGTGTTATATTCTCCGTGTTTGACAGTTTTTCCATGAGCATTTTACTGTTTTTCTGGACCATGTTATCCAGAAAAGTTTCAAAATGAAATAACCTGCTAAATTATCTTCACAATCGATTATTAGCGCGCGCTCTCGACTTGAAAATTACTGTCAACGATATTTGTGCTAACTTTCTCTAAATATTTTCTCTGTATGTTATTTACTTCGAAACAAAGGATAAGCAACCTTGAAACTTCCAAGATTCAACGTTCTTCCTTTCGTTATTGCAAATGATTTTCTCCGTTTGCTGATGCCACCACAGCTCTGAGGATGATGAAAAACATCGATTACATCACGGTCAGTTGTTAAATCAAGTTCCGTAATCCTTAGAGTAAATGAGTTTTGGATTAAGTTATTACTAATTATTTTGTATTCGCACACCCCCCCCCCAAGTAAAAAGTGTGAAATAATGAAGCTTAGTATGAAAATCAGTTATCGGTGTAATTAAACAATTATCTGTTATGGAAAATGTCTTGCACAAAATTAATGTATTCGTGTTTAATAGTCATCTCATATTATGCTATAATTTACCGACGTTTTGACACAATTAGTTCATTGGATGTTAGTAAGTGCACTGAAAACTATTTATCAGTAGCGAAAATGTGTTTCACTGTCAATAGTTTATAATTGTCCATTCAACAGACATTATATGGAGAAAAATATATATCAGTTGACATTGGTTATTAAAATCAGTGTATCGAATAGTGAGTGCAAAGGAATAGATTATCAATATAGACTTTGTAAATTTGTGTACAATGAACAATAACAGTATAATAACTATTGAGATATTGTCTTTTCCTGATATTTTAATTATGTAGTGCAGATAAGTGGGCTTCGTACTTTTACATTATTATGTGAACTATGTTTCATAAATATATCATCTTCCCTCATTGGGGAATTGAGTTGGCAACATGTGTTTATAGAATGCTATACATGATAATAATAATATATTTTCTCAAAATAACAATTATACAATTCACGCCAATTTACAGGCACGATCAGCTCGATATAAATAGTGGCATTAAATGTAGGGAACAAACGTGTGATATAAGATTGTTTAAAGTTTGATATTTCAAAAATCGTTCAGGTAGTACATTTATGACACGTATTACAGCAATGCAATGCATCGGCTGGGAACTTTCAATTCTTCTTAAGTGGACATTCTATTGATTTATGAACGGTGCATTTAAGGTCATTTCCTGTGCCATAACGAATTAATTATAATAATCTACAACTAGAGAAGGTATAATGGATACAGAGAGCACGGAACAACGAAGCAATAATTACTGAAGTATGTCAGCCAGGTCTACCATAATGCATGTCATATGACTCAGTGATATACTGTTCATGTTAGATATTATTCAAATTAGTTAGGGTTGTCAGGTACGTTGTTAACGTAAAGTAAAGGCGGGTGGACGGTTTTACTTAATGAATTTAGTGACAAGAATGGCTAAACATTTAAAGTTTCTATAACCTCACTTGTCGAATAAAATACATTTACATGTGCTAAACAATGCAATGTATTTTCAGAGGAGCACTATGCATCAATGCAGTGAACAAAGGATGGTAGTGGTTTTATCTTACGAATAGATTGTTGTAGATTAGTCTGGAGTCTGGAAAATTTACAGGTAAAGTAATTCACATAGAGAGATGATTTAGATGAGTTTGTTTTACTAGTGACAAGGAGTTACGGATGTCGTAATTAGAAGTTTCTGAATACTGAATTGCTTGACTGAATGTAAATGATAGTTTACGAAGTATTTTTAAGAAAAAGATAAAATTTAATTTGAGTCTCCTCTTCCATAAAGGATCAAGCCAAGTTTATTACATCTGGAATAGCAATTCAAGGTACAATCAGTCCCAAGAATACGAAGTGTAAATCGTCTCTGTACTGATTCCAATCTTAATTTATCCCTTCCGCGCCCATTGCTAAGAATAAACGTGTAGTATTCTAAGAGTGTTCGAACACAAACTTTGCAAGTAAAAATACATAACTCATTTTTATAAAGGTTTAGAGTTATGCAACTCACAAGACGTTGAGACCTGGAGGTCTGTTTTAATACCTGTTCTGTAAATGACAAATCGTCCTAAGTCTACTATTGTATGTAACTTAGATAACACCTCCCCATTGGTGGTTAGATCTAAGTTGAGTGATGTATCACCGAAGGATATCCATCAGCATTTAGCTGTATTAGGCTACAGCTACCATTTTGAGCACCACTATGCTGCCTTGCTAAGCTCCATGCCGATGCAATTTTTCATAATGTTCAGCTCATGAGGAGAAAATGAATACACTAATTTAATACCGGTTACTGATGAGGAACATAACTCACGAAACTATAGGAAAGAGACCTATCATGACCTATTATTCCCACCATCAAAGGTGATATTAAATTATGATTTAGCAGCAAATAAACAAGTAGGGGGTTACTAACCAAAAAATTATTCATACTTTGTGTTAGTTTCGTTTGGATTTTCGGTCCTTATTCTCTCCCCAATCAACTTATTTTTCGTGTATGGCTTTATAGTACTTATTACTGCTGAGTAAACTAATGATAAATAAAAATATTTTTGCCATATCCCAAACAGTAGAAAATTAGATTTCTGACGTTTCGTGACTTAACGCAAGCCACTTCTTCAGAACAAATCAATAACAGAAATAAAATTGACACAAGTTTCAATAGTGAAAAGGAAACAAGTGGCTTACATTAAGTCGCAAGACGTCAAAAATACAATTTTCTTCTCAATAAGATACAACAAAATAGTACATAAATTTATTATTAACATTCTGCCCAATGCTCAATTTATTAGAAGCGATTCAGTAACCTGCTCTGTTATTCATAACATCTAGGTGTATGGTGTGCCGCAAGTTTATTTGTTGTGTAATATCATAGAACATTCACATACACTTACAACATTTACCACATTATAAGAAAGGAGGTTTTGTGGAGATTGTAGTAATTTAATAGTCGAATTCATGAGTCCATTAAAGCTAGACCACCACGGAAAATCTGGAAGCACTAGACGGCCATTTCGTTCTAGTATGAGACTCCTCGGCAGTACACACCCACGATCCCGCTCGTGGGAGTCGAACCAAGGACCTAACAGTCTCGCGCGCGAATTCGTAACCTGTGGACCAGTGAAGTTCAACCGTGTCTGTTGTGAGGCAGCCACTCACTGAAGACAATGGTGTACGGTGGCGCAACTTCGTGGATTGGTTGAACTTAGACATTAATACCGTTGGATGCCGGCTCAGTGGTCTAGTGGTTAAGTGTTCGCGCGCGAGACCGAAAGATCGTGGGTTCGAATCCCGCGGGGTTGTGGATGCACGCTGCTGAGGAGTCCCATACTGGGACGAAACGGTTGTCCAGTGCTTCCAGGTTTTCCATGGTGGTCTGACTTTAATCGACTCATGAATTTGTAGTGACTCACATTTATCACGAGAACACGACTGGTTTAATAAAAACAATTATTATTATAACCAACTGTACCAGTGACTGTTTTAATGTGCTTTTGTTTGACTGTGCTAATGACAGTGCCCTATCTGATAACCTGAGATTCAATGCTAGACCTAGCAAACCTACTAGCGGGATCCTCAAACCATCTTCAGGTCCCACGCTAGATACATCAGAGACCTCATTCTCACGTCCCAGTCAACAGCACGCGTCATCTGCACCGTCTACGGATAAGACGACAGTCTCACGTCCAGATCAGCAGACCACGCCGCCCTCGACTTCGGATGAGATTGCAGGCTCACGCGACGCGAACGAGACTACCGTCTCACGTTCCGGTCGCCGAGTACGGTTGCCCGTACGCTTCGGCGACTAGTCGCACAGTCAACAACCGATACGGTGTAGGAATATTCCTATGCTACACTCTTCTCTTT